GAGTATAACATTATAACATGATATAAAACTAAAAAAAAGTTGATTTTACATGATATTGCCCCATTAAGAAAACATTTTGTAGCGCAAGTTTTTCAAACCTATCCAAAATTTCTGCCACGCAAAATAAGATGGAGAAAAATAATATTTTTAGCTTGGCAGAAAATTCTTGAATATCAAATGTAGCTTGCTGCTTCTTTAACTTGTAATTTTTCTCAGTCACACAATTAAAGCAAACAGATTGAATTTTTTAATAATTGCTGTTTTTCTAGTTCACAAAATAATGGGCAAACAAGTCTGTCCAACCAAGATAGCTATAATCAAAATGAAACATAGAATCCAACCAAATTAAACTAATAAGACTTTATGATTTAATGTGGATGTTGCATAATCTGTTAGCACAGTAAAACTGACTGAATTACAGTTATATCTTTATTTTTTTCTAAGGTGACTTGACCGTAGCAGATCATCCCAAATTCTCTTGAATCCAAAGGTTAATTAGCTGTAGATGTGTGCAGAATGAACAACCGTGACCCATGACATGACCTTTTCACCACCACTGGTCATGTCTCACAAGCTAACTGAACTTTGTCTTGAAAAAGCTGTCTTAGAGACAAAACTCTATTTTAGCTTCAAAATATGACCTCATCTGCAGATAGTGCTGACGTGACAAGTCCGCTTTAATCTTTTCAGATTTCTTATATAAAAATCCAATGATTACTTTCTGAGTGTTTTAATAAAATCAGTCCAGTAGTCCACAAGGCATTTTGCTAACAGGCAGTTTTCAATAGCATCAAGGTTTAAAACAAAGATCTCACACAATTTGTCAATGGTTGAAGTACAAGTTAAAAATTCGTCTCAGCTACTACTGAAACAAATTTTAACTCAATATCTGTAAAACTGACTGAGTTGTGGCCAATTTATGTTTGTCAAAGTTGATTATCTCCTAAAGTAATGAGTTGTAAATGTGCATCTAATGATTACTTTCTGAGAGTTTCATTCAAATCCACCCAGTGGTTCAAGAAAAGTTTGCTAACAGATTAAAATGGGGAAAACGTTCCTAAACAATCTATTTATTACTTGCTGCTGAACGGGGAAAGATAGGCCACAAATGATTTATTCTGTGGGATCAGATTTGCAGTCCTGTGCGTCGTTACCTGGTGGCATCATGTGCAGGAGCAGGCCTCGTGCCAGCAGCATCTGTCCTGTGCGCAGAACACAACCCCATCCGCTGTCAGTGGTCAGAGAAGAGCCAGGCAGCGGAGAGAAGCCTCGTCTGTATGTTAACCACAGGAGAGACGCAAAGGAGCGACGAAATTGCTCTTTGTCCCCTGACACAGTTAAAGAWATGGGGACAACGTTTTATTACTTATAAAACCACAAACACATGTGTTCAGAATAAATCTGGATGAATGTTTGCTCAGCTTTGATCCATTCCAAAGAGCAGAAGAAGGACTCACTTTCATCCCTGAGATTGTAGGACTTTCCSAGCATGTAGACAGCAGAGCTCTTGCTGAATTTTGCTTTTGGCTTCAGGGAAAAAACTTAAAGAGGAAAACTGATTTGAGTCACAAAAATGAATTGAACAAACTGACGTGCAGAACATGTCTGAACGTCACAACTGACCATATCTGGCACTGCTCCACACTGACGCCAGTTTGGATTTCAGTTTGCCTTTTTGGTCTGCCGGTCGATCCTCCCTGCACTCCTCTTTGATCGGGGGATCAGTTGATTCATCGGAGACGAAGTGCCAGTCGTCTGTGGGGTCACCATCACGGTGATCGGAGGAGGTGGTGGGGTTCATAGCAAGTGGAGATGACCACGACTGAACATTGGTTCCTTATCTACACAGCAGCCTACAGCAAAAACAACAAAGACCACCTCTCATGATGTGCATGTGACTCAGTCATGTACTGTGAATTATACTATTTATTTCAGCTTCAGTCCAGTTCTCCCTGGTCTGATGAGCTCATTTTGAGAACAGTGAATCTGTGAACACAACATGATCGAATCACATGACTAAAGGAATTTCAGGTATTCGGCTGCGGTTACACAGATTGTTGTAACCTACATTTGGTTTCCTCTTTAATACAATGTGTGGTTACAGTGTGGTGGAAACTTTTCACACACACGACTGTGCAACGTTACACAGACAGAGAGCCTCAGTATAATGAGAGGCAGAGGAAGTGTTCAGGTGCTTTGTACAGGTAAATGTAATGACACAGCAACAGGAAAGCACATTACTAGAAAAATCTAAATTTCATAGGAACAAAATTATTTGTGAAGCAGAAAGCTAACAAAAAATCGTCTAAAATTTAAATCTAAACAAACCTTGTACCCTTTTTTTTAGAAAGCTATTCAGTGGGTAATAAAAGTCGACTCAACTAAATTCTAAAACACAAAATTTTAATATTTTAAACATTTAATATTTACCTGTGATGACAGTGTACAACTTGGTTTCTAAATGACAATATCAATTTCACCATTCTAATTATCTTGAACTAATTTTATTTGTCAAAATTAAACTTTTGGTAGAGGAGGGAGAGTTTCTTTAGCCGTGGCTTGTAAACATCATGTCAGTAAAATTCTACTTTACCTTAATCTCTGCGTCGTCATTCCTGCTTTATTTTACCAGCAACACCTTCTAAATACATTTACTCAAAACTCTGATCGATTTTTGTTTTGTCGCTGTGACTTTCTTGTTTTTTGCTCTGACGTCGTGACAGAAAACTAATCGCTGCAGCGGACACTTCCTGTTTATTATTGTCACGTGAGAGCGCATTTGTGATTGGCAATGAATGGCCCAATCAGAATTGACCTTTCTTCAGTTACTAATGCGCATGCGTAAATTGGGCACCGTTCTCCCAAATTTATACTTGTCTGT